CATTGGGCTAATGTCTGCAGGGAATCCCCAGAGCCTCAAAATCCTGGGCCTTGCTTGTATTGGCAGTCCAGGTGCACAGTGAGGCTTCCATGGCTTTGTGCCATACTGCAGCATCCCCCCCTCAACTAGTCCCAGAGGCCCCTGCCATGCCACTAAGATACCCCCCACTCCTTAATTGGGGCTCCTTTTCACAAGCTGTTAGATCATTTAATGACCACAACTGCGGTTGCGGAGTAAAGTGGTCACGTGACATCTCACAATGACTGCTTTCCTCAATGACCAAGTGTGGTTGTAAGTCCAGGATTACCTGTTTTATTTTTAATTAAATCTGTGAAGAGCAGTTGCATTAGACAATGTGAAAAGCTTGGCTAGCTTTAATTTTAGTTTGCTTTTTGGGCATCTTAGCCTGTTGTGCTGGCTGGGTGACTTTGGCTCAAGACTCTCTCAGCCCAGCTCACCTCACTGGGTGGTTTTTGTGGGGAAAATAGGAGGAGGAAGGAGTTAGGAGGAAGGAATATTAGTTATGTTTGCCATTTTGAATTATTTGCTAAAATTATGAAGGTCAGCTAAAAAAAAAACCAAGTTGCCAGGTTAACTTTCGATTCAATGTAGCATATGGACCTAAAAAAAATGAGTTAATGCAGAAATGCAGTTGTACTGTCAAAACACAGCCATAAAAATTGTAATCTTTATTGTGACAAAAGGGGACTGTAGCTAAACATGTGGAGAATAATCATACTGAGTGTTACCTACTTTTATTTCACATTCATTTCATTTGTGTTTTAAATTTAATTAAACTGAATTTTTGTCCTGGCACTACCCATTTTTTTTTAGAATAGATCTATCTCTCTGATAGATCTGTCAAGACCAGGTGTAAACTTTGGGCCAAAACAGATCATGCATCCCTGCCACACAGCAACCTCTTCCAGGTGGGAACCCTCCCAAAATTCTGGAGTCTTCTGGCTTCCACTTCCTGAGCTGCTTAAAGGAAAAGGTTTGCCATCTGAGGAAACATGAACTAAGCAGAAATGGATTTGCACACAGCCAGAACATTTCGGTGTCCCTGAGATTATTCATGCTGTGTCAATAGGAGAAAATTAAATTTCCCTTCTGAACAAAACCTTCCTCAATTAGATGTTGGCATCAGAGGAGAAATCTATAAAGCGGGGTGAAAGATTGTGTCTTAAATGGGACCCATGAAGGACCGAAGGCTCACAATTTGGCCAGCTTAGATGCAAATTAACTTTCTCTATTGAACTTGACTGTATGGATTTTAGGAAGCATTATCTCTTCAAATCAGAGGAACCCTGTAAACTGGATGAATGTAACAGTGTTGTCCCTAATCAACCTTGGGACTGAAACCAAGGTAATTGGTTACTGCAACAACATTTGCAAAAGGCTCCGTGCAGTCAGCTACTCAACATCTGGATTGTAACCCCAGTATGATCGGCTTTGCAGAAAAAGTCAGAACAGGTATTTTTATGTTCATTGTTGTTGTGAGCTGCCAAGAGTGTGTTTACCATCGCAGCAGGATATAAATCTGATAAATAACTAACCTATATAATGGACATCTGTGCCAAAACTGATGACTGAGTTTTAGGGTACTGGATGCTTCCTGATTGAGGTGCTGGTAGTGATGAAGATGAGTGTGTGAGAAAGTGCTACTTTATTTATTTCTTTGGAGCCCATTTTTACTATTTTTGCAGGTAACTCAAGGTGGCAAACATATCTTTAGTGACTGTTTGAAGTTACAACGACACTGAAAAAGTGACCTATGACAGTTTTTCACACCTGCAACCATTGCAACCTCTCCATGGGCATGTGATCAAAATTCAGAGGCTTGGCAACTGACTTGGATTTATGACGGTTGCAGTGTCCCGGTGTTACGTAATCACCTTTTGCGAACGTCTGACAAACAAAGTCAGCAGGGAAGCCAGAGTCAGTTAACAAGTGTGTTACTTACTTACAACTGCAGTGATTCACTGTTGCGAGAAAGGTTGTAAAATGGGGCAAAACTCACTTAACATCTGTGTCCACTTAGCAACGGAAATGTTGGGCTCAACTGTGGTCATAAGTCGAGGACTACATGTACATTTGATGGCAGCTGAATGCAGGATTCCCTTGGTTTTCCTTGTCTGAGAGCCGAGGGGTGAATCGGCCGCTTTCGAAAGAACCTCACTCTGATTCCCCCTTTTTGTAGTAAAAGCCTTGAGCGTTATGTCATTCTGAAATGTGATGCTGACAGACATGATTCAGATGAAATGTTTATATTGAGCTTAAAGTGCACAGAGTGTTTTACTCTCCACCCCATTACGTTCACGAGCTCTGGGATTGTCATCATTTCTGGAAACCATCTGTCATCAATTGACAGACCACCAAGTGCTCTCAAATGAGCTAATTTGAAGAGATGAATGCTCAGCAGCATCCAGCAGACTCTGACTGAGAGTTAGGACTTAGGAGTTGAGCCTGGTTAATCCAGATGGTGAACCAGCTGACAGATCTGGAGCTAGGAAGGTTTTTAAAAAAAATTGGAATGGGAATTATAATCCGCCCGGAGTTGAGCTCAAGTGGTGGTGGCTAAGAGGTAGCTTCGTCTTATGTGCCAGTTGCACCTGTTCCTGGATCATCAGACTCTGCTTAGTCACTCATGAGCAAGTTGTCTCCAGATTGGACTACTGCAATTTGCTCTTCATGGGCTGCCCTTGAAGAGTACCCAGAAGCTTCAAATGGTATAGAATGCAGTGGTACAGGCAATTACGTCTGCTCCTAGGATAGTGCATGTCACTCCTCGACTCAGTGAGTTGCATTGGTTGCCAGTTTGCTTCTATGTACAATTCAAGCTGGTTTTAACCTTGAAGCCCTTCATGGCATGGGAACAGACTGGCTGAGGGACCGCCTCTCACCGGTTACAACAACCCATTGCATGAGATCTGGCTGAAAGCGTCCACTGTGAATACCAGCAGCTAGGGATGGTGAACCCCAGTGTTGTGATTCCTCGCCAGGCAGTGGACCCGGCAGCTGAGTCAGAGAAATCAGAGGAGGAGGAGGAGGAGGAGGAGGGGCCTGGAGGGACATCAGAGTCAGAGGAAGGCTCTGAGGAGTTTCAAGACTTACAGTCTGACGAGGAGCCTTGCCCCTCTACTCACGCTCAGGCTGAGACACAGCTGTGCTGGGAGGCTGAGTTGGACAGTGGTGATTCACAGTTGGGAGCTATTCAGGATGCATGTAAACGCTGGCAAGAAAAGAGAGTAGGACAGAGGAATGCAATGAGGCGGCTCCAAAGGCAAAGAAGAAGGCATTAGGAAGCCATGCCTTGGCTGTGTAATAAAAGGCAAAGTGTGGGAGGTGCTGGTTGAGGAATCAAGTTTCTATGAACTGTGTTTGTTTGCCTTGGACATTGACTCAGGTCTGTGAATAATAAAAGGGGATTGTTTTTTTCTGGCGGTTCCAGCCTGCTTGTTGGAAGAGGGGTTTCTCCTTGTGAGCTTAACAAGGACTCACGTAGGCTGGGACAGAACACCCATGGCACCTGCTTTACAGAACATTCTTAACTCGAGATTAGGTTGGATGCATCCCTTTTGACACAGGTAGACCTCGACTTACAGCCATTTGTTTAGTGACTGTTCAAAGTTACAATGGCACTGAAAAACAAGTGACTTATGGCTGTTTTTCCGCAAGACCATTGCAACATCCCCATTGTCGCGAGATGAAAATTCGGTCACTTGACAACTGCCATATATTTATGACAGTCGCATTGTCCCAGGGTCATGTGATCACCATTTGCAACTTCCCCAGCCGGCTTCTGAAAAGCAAAGTCAATGAGGGGGAAGCCAGATTCACTTAACGGTCACACGAGTCACTTAAGAAACTGCAATGATTCGCTCAGCTGTGGCAAAAAGGTCATAAAACAGGGCAAAACGTATTTAACAACTGGGAATTTTGGGTTCCAATGCGGTCATAAATCAAGGACTACCTGCATTCCAGAAGCCTCTCAAGAACCTCGTTATATAATTAGGCCTGAGGCTCCCAAGGAACTGGAGATACGTTTTGATGGTTCCATTGCTGAGAGGCCATTCTTATGCCACCTTCGCCTGAGGCTTATGTGTTTATTTTTTTAAATATTTATCTTTGAATGTGGATCATTATACCTATATTTCTGTTATTTCTATATTTGTTGTTTCATTTGGCTGTTGCATACTACCCAGTTGCTTTTGGTCAAACGGGCAGCTATACAGGGGTGGGATTCAAATATGGGAACAACCGGTTCTCTGTGTGGATGCCGCTTCCGGGAGTCCATTTTGGGCCTGGGCAGCAGAAAATTAGCTACCGGTTCTGCCGAAGTGGTGCAAACTGGCTGAATCCCACCACTGCATTTGATAAATAAGTAAAGTTTGAGGTGACTTTTCTATTTTTTATTGCGTGGTGGGAGAGGAGAGGTAAAACCTTTCATTCAGTCTAAGTTTAGCACATGCTCACTGCTGGTAGGACAGGTCCTCCCACAAAAGAAATGTAGATTTCATTCAATTTGAATGAAATCAGCAAAGTGGGTGTGATTATTCACTGTCTAGCTAATATTTTCTTTCTATAATAATCCAGCTGAGAATTTAATGGCAACTTGGGTTAAGACCCAGGACCATGTTCAAAATTCTCCAGGGCTGGAGGTTGGAGACAACCCTACCAAGGGATTCAGTTTTCATGTTGGTCCTCGACTAACAACAGTTCATTTAGTGACCCTTCAAAGTTACAACAGCACTGAAAAATGTGACTCGCGACCATTTTTTAAAGTTACAACCTTTGCAGCATCCCTCATGGCCACATGATCAAAATTCAGACACTCGGCAACTGGTTCACATTTATAATGGTTGCTGTGTCCTAGAGGGTCATGTGATCCCCTTTTGTGACCTTCTGACAAGCAAAGTCAATGGGTCAGCCAGATTCACTTAACAACCAGGTTACTAACTGATCAACAGCAATGATTCCCTTAACAACTGTGGCAAGAAAAGTCATAAAATGGGGCCAAATTCACTTAACAAATGTCTCACTTAACTATAGAAATTTTGGTCATAAGCTGAGGACTATCTGTATGTTTTGGACTGCTAAAAGTCTACGCTAGGCAGCAACTCCTTGCCAGCTTTGATGGGGTGACATTTTTCCATTGAGGGAAAAACCTCGTCTGGAAGTGCAGGATAGGGATCCTGAGAAGCCCAGAGAAACTTCTCGATGACAAGAAAAGTTCACCGGTCAAGATCCTGCCCCTGCCTCCTTGCTCCTTGTTTCCCAGCAGTGAAGGCAGCCTAATTTTATGCAGCGTGCTCTTGGGGTGATATATACTGCATGAGACACAGCGTTGGTGAAATGGTTCATTTGTCAGCTAAGGATCCAACTAGCATCCAGGCTTATTTATCCAAGTAACTTTTGCTTATCCTCTGAAAAAAAAAAAATCCGCCTAGAAAAAGACAGGTTTAAACCTCAAGCCAGCCACTCCTTTGGCACTGCAGTTCATAGCTGTCAAGTTCATATTTGCTTTATGTTGAAAGCAGCCCTTTTCCTGAATAGAGTGCTTAAGATACCCACATGGCCGCTTCCAATCACAAGGCGCCTCTTGCTGCAAATGTAGCAAAATCCACACGGCAAGTCAAGACTTCAGAGGAAAGGAACCTGGAGCCCTCTACTGGCTGGTTATGGGATCACGCCTATGGAGATTCTCAGTCCTCCAGATCATGGTTGTCCCAAAGGTACTTTTTCAAGAGGCGATTGGACTTTCTTGTTTTTCTTTGAAGACATTTCACTTCTCATCTAACAAACTTCTTCAGCTCTGGGATCACCATCCACAGATCCATCTCTTGCTGAGACCATCCCAAAGTTCCTGTCCACAGAAGCTACAATCTATGTGCCAGACTGGGCAATGACAATGATTCCTTCTGATGAGTCTCCTCCTGTGTCTTCAGCTCTTCTCCATCATAGCTGCCTTTGAGAATGGACAGTCTCTGGCTGAAGGGCTTAGGGTCATAGTAAATAACAAAGTTGTAAAGGACAGATGCCAAGATGGCACCAATTAAGGGGCCCACCCAGAAGATCTATAAAGAAAGATCAGAGATAAGTTAGGACAATGACAACTTGTCACCAATTGACCTAAAGTACAACCCTATTTGACCCAAGGTCAGGATCTCTGAACCAAAGAAGCTGCACATCTTTAGAAGTCCAACTGAAATGAATTGAACCTAAGTTGCTAGATCACATTAGTTTCTCTCATGATTTTCCAAGATTTAGTTCCTTTTCTCTGCCTTGGAATCAGGACCTAAATCATGACAGCCTTTATCATCTACAACCAGGATCGCAGCTGCCCACAAGGCATGGTCAGAAAAGTTAAGATAGTGGCAACAATGGTGAATGAAGCTTTGCCTAATTTTTTTATGTGCACCACATACGCAATACATACAAAAACTGGAGAGAGTTTCCATCACCATTGTGACTGCTGTTTTGACTTTTTTGACTATGATCTGTAGACATTCATGATCAGGACTGTTATATCCTACAATATGAATCAATCCATCTCTTCCAATGTTGTGACATCTTCTGTTGAAAGCTGCTGTAGAACCAGTGGTGGGATTTAAATATGTGAACAACCGATTGTCTGTGTGGATGGCACTTCCGGAAGTCCACTCTGGGCCTGGGCAACAAAAAGTTAGCTACCGGTTCTGCCAAAGTGGTGTGAACCAGCTGAATCCCATCGCTGTGTAGAACTGACTACCAATCCACATGAGTGAGATAGCTGTGTATCAGAGGTAGACAGCTTACCATATCTAAAGACAGATATAAACTAGGATAAGACGGACTGTGTAAAGGGCAGGCAAAAATGGAATGCCCGGTTTTATGAACCCTTTCAGCAAAATACTGAAGTATACCAAAGATTTTCACACGAGGACTTGAAATTCACCACTAAGTGAAAACAAAGCAAAATAAAAAAACAAAACCCAGTGCATGATACAGTGATCTCTAGACTATTTCTCAAACTTAGCAACTTTAAAATGTGTGGATTTCAATCCCAGACTCTTCCAGCCAGCCACATTGAAGTCCACAGAACTTAAAGTTGCACACATTTGAGAAACACTGCTCTAGATCAGGGGTTCTCAGCCTTGGCAACTTTAAGACTTGTGGACTTCAACTCCCAGAATTCCTCAGCCAGCTTTGCTGGCTGAGGAATTCTGGGAATTGAAGTCCACAAGTCTTAAAGTTGCCAAGGTTGAGAACCCCTGCTCTAGATGGACTGTGTCTTCTAGGCAAGATCAAACTCATGAAATTTTCAAACTCCCATTCCTGCTGATTTCCCAAAGTCAGAATTCAGTAGCAAATGGAGCACAAGCTTTAACTGGGGGAAGCTAAATTTAAATCCCTGCTGACTGAATTCAGCTTTAAGCTCCTTTAAGGAGAGCTGGATATGCAAAGCGGGAAGGGCTTGCTTTAAAGCCCTAAGCTACTATCCAGGTTAAAATGAAAGGAGATAACAAGAAAATAAAGGAAGTTAGATCTACAACTTCTCTCTCTACTTAGTTCTGTCCTTACATTTTCCATCTTAAGTCACCCCTTCCTGGAAACTTCCAAGGTCAGAAACTTCTGTGAATAACCACATCTGCAACTAGAACCCTGGCAAGCTGATGTTATTCCCAGCCGGCTCTGCCATTAAGCAAAAGGCAGTCATCACCTAGGCCAGGGGTAGGCAACCTTGGCTCTTTTATGACTCGTGGACTTCAACTCCCAGAATTCCTGAGCCAGTATGGCTCAGCTTGGAAACCTCTCCCTTTCCCCTCAGCATGGCTGGCTCAGGAATTCTGGGAGTTGAAGTCCACCAGTCATAAAAGAGCCAAGGTTGCCTACCCCTGACTTAGGGGGAAAAGGCTAGGAAGGGAAAATTAAAAGAACAGAGCCAGCCTATTGCTTGAAAAGACGGTAGGGCTTCACTGTTAATACTGAAGAAAAAAAAAATCACTGCTAATCCAGTTAGTGTTTGCATTCGGAATGGGAGGGGTGGGAGAGATATAGACCATCCCATTTCTGACTCAAGCAGCAACATTTCTTAGGCAGCTCCAGTGCCGTGGTTTGAAAGGAGGTGAACCTGGCCTAAGACAAAATGTCAGGGTTTGTGTCCTCTGATGGAAATGTTCTAGGCATGACTCCTGTCTTCAGTAGGGCACCAAGCCTCCAGGAGTAAGAAAGAGGCCATTTCTAGCTGCTCTAGGGCAGGGGTCCCCAACGCCCTGTCCATGGACCAGCACCGGGCCCCATCTGCATGATCAGGTAGCATGCAAAACTACACCCCCTGCAGTCTGCAGGAAAACCTGTCTTCATGGAACCGGTCCCTGGTGCCCAAAAGGTTGGGGGCTACTGCTCTAGGGAGTAAGGATATTTTTTTAAAAAAACAATCACTTGACCATGTGCCATCGTTTTTTTTTTTTTTTTACAGCTAGCAACCACATAGACCACCACCAGAGAGCAGCAAAGAGTTTTGTATCTCTTTGCTGCCATTTAGGGAAAATCTGGAATTCTGTGGCCCACAGCTGGTTACCCCTACTCTTCATGCCAACAACCGAAGCTATTTATGCCAACGGCAAGGCTGTTGCCTCCTCTGATTTTAAACTTAGGAACTGGGTGAGACCAAACTGGTCTGCCTTATGCAACCAGAAGATGGCCTTATCTCCCAGCTTTAAAATGCAGTTGTTGCCAGACTGAGCTAGAGTTAAGATGTCTAAACAAAGTCCTAATCCATAACAAACTTTTGTGGAAAGTAGCTCTGAGAAGCATCGTGGCCTTGCTACTTAAAATCCCATGGTAGGCTTCCCTAAAATGCCTGCCAGCAAGTCCTTACAGATGGCTACAGAAAATAAAGCAGCGCTCTGTGGGAGGTGCAAAGAAGCTTGTGGACCTGTAGTACAGAATGCTCATTTTTTGTTTTTTAATAATCCCAGACCAGTCCAGTTGCTCTTTGGGCTCATAGTGCATACAATTAAATCCTACTGATATACAGACTTTCAGGGTCTGACCAATTGGATAATTCTTTACCCCACTTTTCTTCCACCTACCCTGGAATAATGGGGGATGAGGATACAGAAAGAAGAGAGTTTTACCCACTGCTGAAGAAAATTCCCAGTTATGACAGCAGGACCAAAGGATCTGGCTGGATTCATGGAGCATCTAGTGTAGTAATGCTAGAAACGGGGAATTGGAAGAAAGCATTAGGAAAGACAGCTCTTGTGGAGTTCCCATTCTCTGTTTCAACGTTGCACTTCCATCAAAAGTTTTTTTCTATCTCACTATAGTCCAAACAACTACAGATAGTCCTCGACTTATGACCACAATTGAGCCCAAAATTTCTGTTCTTAAATGAGACATTTGTTAAGTGAGTTTTGCCCCATTTTACAACCTTTCTGCCACAGTTGCTAAGTGAATCACGGCAGCTGATTGGTTAGTAACCTGGAATCTGGCTTCCCCATTGATTTTGCTTGTCAGGCGATCACATGACCTTGGGACACTGCAACCGTCATAAGTATGAACCATCTGAATTCTGATCACATGACCATGGGGATGCTGCAAAGGTCGTAATTTTGAAAAAACAGTCATGTCACTTTTTTCAGTGCCGTTGTAAGTTTGAACGGTCACTAAATGAACTGTTGTAAGTTGAGGACTACCTGTACTACAGTGTTGGGATGGAATCCACATAGAACAAGACACTGGAGGAAAATACTTGTGTAGCTTTCTAGTCTTACACCTGATGTTGAAGACTGGAGTTGTTTGGTTCAAGCAGCCACTACTATTGTTCTTTTCTCTAAAATGTCTCTTTTACTAGAGGCATGCTATTGTCTGGGTAAAACATTTACCAAAGGTGTGCATCACACCACCCACTGTAGCAGGGTTATCTATGAACACTGTTGTAAAAGCTTAGAATGTTGGTCACCGTAGGATCTGCTAGTCAATGCTCCTCCAAAACACCCCTGACATTTTTACATTATACATGGGCAAAGTTTGCAGCCAAGAACCCAGCCCCTGCACTGTGCTCATGTTATTTACAAGGTAATTAAAACAATATCTGTTACATTATTCCTTTTGTCCTGGTTTTTAAAAGTTCTCAGCTTTATCTGGCTAATGCTGGCTTGGGTGTATTCTGTCTTTTATTTCTAACATTGATTTTTACTTTGCTTTGAATGCCTATTCCCTCCGAAGAGCGCTCTCTATCATTTTAAAAGCTTGCTTCTAGCATTTAAAAAAATAAATAAAACAAAACCTGTCTTGCTTAGGACTCCCAGATGTGGGTTTTCCACTCTCAAGTAATCATCAGCCAGTTCTGGTAGGCTCACTTTTGTGCTTATCTTTCCCAGCACCTTTTAATTTACTCACCCCTACCAAATGGCCCAGGGCAACCGAGACTCCGATGATGACAGCGGGGGAGCCCGTACTACGCTGTGTATCTGTGGATGCAAAGTAGCACAGAACCAACTGTAGGGTCAAGATGAGCTCAACTGCAACAGCTTGTCCAGCTGAAATATTGACGTTCACCTAGAGCAGAGAAGGAAATCACGGTGAAGGAGATTTTAACTCTACAGCTGACATCTTTTCTGCCTGGGGGGAAAAAAGATTATTATATAGGTTTTAGGTTACGTGAGTGCAGGATCCCCTAAAGCAGGGTAGGCAACCTTGGCTCTTTTATGACTCGTGGACTTCAACTCCCAGAATTCCTGAGCCAGTCATGCTGAGGGGAAAGGGAGAGGTTTCCAAGCTGAGCCATGCTGGCTCAGGAATTCTGGGAGTTGAAGTCCACGAGTCAGAAAAGAGCCAAGGTTGCCTACCCCTGCCCTAAAGTTAAATCAGAGCACTTTGTTACCACCACTAAGAGCGACATCCGATGACTGCAACTTGAGACCTCCTGCCAGCTCTTGCGCTGACTTTGCTTGTCAGAATCCCTTTTATTCAAACACATTGAGGATTCTTTCCTACTTCAACATTTATGGGGAAAACCCTGAAGGACATAAATTTTGTGAAGGTGGCTCCAGATGGAAAAAAAGTTTGACTTTAACAGCTGCCTTTTATATTTCTCCAATTAGGGAAGTCAGCAGTCATCCCTGATCAGCTGAAAAAGACTCTAAACTTTCCTCCTTTTTTTTTTTTTTTTTTAGTTATAAACTGATGTTTTCCAGCTTCTGGCAAATGGCTGCTGCCTGCTTCATCTGAAGCGCATCATACTAAGGCAGAGTCCTGCTGTGGTCACATTCCTCCAGTTTTCAGGGTGGTTTGTCTCTCGAGACCAGAAAAGCAGAGAGCCCTTCTGCTGTGCTCAAAGACCATCTCTTCTGCTTTTCTTGCCAATCCCTGGGTGCAGCCGTGTCTACAGAGAAGAGGTTTAAAAAAAAAATAATTAAGATGGTAGCATGCAATTTTAGTCCTGCCCTTTTTTTTTTTTTTTTGGCGTGGTGCATATTGCCTTTCTATGGGTATTCTTCCATTATCGACCGCAATTGGGACCAGCCAACTCTGCTGTTAAATGACACGGGCATTAAGTGAAACATCACGTCGCCATGCTCAGCTTATGTCAATGCCACTGCGGTTCTGAAGCGAATCTGTCACCGTCACTAAGGGCAACATCTGATGACTGCAATTTGAGGCTTCCTGCCAGCTCTTCCATTGACTTTGCTTATCAGAAGCGGGATGACTAATCTGACTATTTTTTTAATCCATGTCACAAATGTTTTGGACAAAGGGGGTGCTGTGGACATAGCTTATCTTGATTTTAGCAAGACATTTGATACAGTTCCCCTAATGAGCTCATAAAAAAGTTGTACAGGCTAGGGCTTAACCATTGGGCGGTTCAGTGGATCAGAAATTGCCTTGGAGGGACTTCCTGTTCTGGTACGCAGCGATGCTGGTTGCATCTGGGGACTCGTCTCCAGTCCGGCCGGGTTTTCTGCATCAGTAGACCCCCTAGTGGGTCGAATGTCACCCTGGAGGGGTGACCACCGAGAAGGAGCTTGCTGGTGACTGTGGGAGAGCAGCAGCTTCTCCCGTGGCCCCAGCTATTTCCTTAGGGCCGACAGAGCAACAATCATCCTGCAAGATGGCTGATTATCCTGCTGCACCAGCCGAAGTCACAATTACAGCTCAGTGATCTTAGACCCACTGTGGAGGATCCGGGTGAGACCCTTTTTGCCCCTTTTGTGCTATAAGGAAAGGGATTATTACAGAACGAAGAGTTAATTCTACCCCAAACATTCAAACTGACTTCCAGACTACAACTGTTTATTCTACATACCAAAACATACCAGAAGAGGAATTAAGGGAAATTAAAGAGGAATTTGTTACAAGGAAAGAGAATACCACAGAACTAAGAACCAGAGATTCTTCTTTAAATTTGAAAAGTGACTTTCAGACTACACTTGACTATTCTACACATCAAAATACACTAAAAGATGACTGTATTGAGGATACAGAGGAACTTATTTCACCCTATAAGCATCTTACTTATATTTTCGAGGATCGGAAAAAGCAAAGACTGAGATTTGAACCTTCAAAACAACGAGGTTTCAAGAATAAGAGAAATGGAGCTCCAATCCAGAGGACAAGAAGCTTATTATTGCCGCAAGTGGCATCACAAGCAATAAAGAGAGACTTATCGGATGAAAGGGAAGTGTTGCTATGGAAACCAGTTTGGCAGGAAAAAAAGCCTAGAATAAGACTGAAAAGAGAAATTTAAAGTTTTATATATATTGGATATAAGGCATTTTAGAACTATGGATTGATTTAAGGATTAAGTTCTTCAGTAATTTATTTGTATGAAAATTATTATATAATGGAATGAAGAAAAATGAAGAGATGTTCTAGTTTTGTTTGATAATATGATATTATTAGGTTTTATAATTAATTGGACAAAATTAGAACTTTGTTTAACGAATTCAAATGATTTAAGGGTGATAGTATTTTGTTTAGCTAGATATGTATAGGATAGATTAATATTTTATCAGTTGGGAGATATTAGTGGAAGAAGGAATAAACAAGATTTATGATGAAATTAAAGAATTAGGATATATCTGGAAGGGATACCTGAACTGATAATGTGTGTACTTACAGTTAAATTTGATTATGGTATTGTAATTGCATAAAAACAGGTTTAGGATTAATAGTAAATTAAATTAGAAATAGACTATTTTAAATATATAAGCTATTTGAGGGAAATAGAGAGGGAATAATTGATGTATTGATTGAGTTACTGATATATGACTTATTTTTTGGATTTTTTTGATTACCCCAGTACCGCAGTGTGTCTTGAGCACTTTGTATTAAGATCTTAAAAACCAATAAAATTTGTTTAAAAAAAAAAAGAAATTGCCTTGGGGATGATCCCAGTGTGTGGTCATGTGTGTAATGGGGCACTATCTGAACAGAGACCAGTCACAACTGGCATGGCTCAGCTTGGAAACCTCTCCCTTTCCCCTCAGCATGGCTGACTCAGGAATTCTGGGAGTTGAAGTCCACAAGTCATACAAGAGCCAAGGTTGCCTACCCCTGGTCTAGGATTTTCATCCATCTTTTATTACAGTGTTTACTTTTCCATTATTGGTAAATAAAATCCTGATTTCTGCAAGCACCCCAAAAATTAGTTATCTAGTCTAGGGTGCAAAATCTGAGGGCCACTAGATGTCAGCATTGAAATTTCAGATCTTTTGCCATCATCTAGTGGTCATCCGTCTTTGTGCAGCCTGCAGGTTGCAGGATTTAAGTTTCCTTAAACGAAATATATTTATTGTATTTTTTACACACAAAAAAACACTTCCAAAAATACGTTGAAGGAAAAATGGATGGGAATATAGGCTTAGGTACATAGTAAGCAAGATAACTATGGTTAGACCATGTAGCTGATTTTAATGGCCACTAAACCAGGGATTGGCAGCACAGCATTCATGACATCCCAAAACGCACAAATACACAAACTGTAAAAATAGGTGAAATCTTGTGAGAAATTGGTTTTCATATTTATTTCTGCAAAATGTTAAATCTGACAGAATTTTGAGCTTGAATGCCCAAATCACATGAGATTTGGGGAAGAAGGCAAAACCTTGTGAGGTGTTAGGAATAAAACTGCCTGCATTTCACCATTAAAAAGGTTTTATTACTACTCGGCACTCCAAGGAACAAGGAAAAGTCAGCCTTGGAGCATTTAATAATTTGTGTTAGAGTCGCAAGCTTACTTTTGTAGGAGAGTAAAACACTTACTGAAATCTGCATTAAGGCAAAAGGCAATTGGTTTGGTTTTGGCTTGAGAAAGTATATGAACGGAGCCAGCTGTGCTCTGTTGAATAAAATGACTATGTAATGTGTGTATGAAGCCTATATATTAGGAAATACAAATCAGTGTGCAGAGAGAGTTTGATTCTGAATAATGTCTTGCAATATATTGGAAAGGAAAGACCATTGTTTTCTACCTTCTCAGTTAAGCAATGTTTATGCAGAGAGGGCATCAGTGCTGGTTTTTCATTAGCATTTCAGATTTTTCAGATTTGCTGTTACCTCAAAGTACATTATCACACAAAATGTCAGGCACAAGTGACCAGATCCACGTGTGTATAGTTCAGGCTCCTTTGCTGTATTCTGCCTATAATACAGGAATTTCCCCAGACTGCTTAGGAACAGATAGATAAGATTCCTTGGAGCTTGGGGAAGGGGGGGTGTCAGTCCCGGATCTCTTACATCTGTGCAACAACTCAAGGCTAATTCCTTCTTTGATCCCTCCTCCCTTTTGGCTGGGTGTTTCCCAGCATATACCAAATTAGATCATCATAGTTTATCAGAAGCTCCTTAGGTATAAGGAAACAAAATATTGAAGTGGGGGGAAGGTATTAAATGATGGATACTGACTAATCATTGTCCAAATATAGAAATCTCAGTGGCTTAGTGTGTTTGCCTTTGTTGCTGCCTTTCGTACAGCTGATTCTGGGACTTTCCCCACTATGGCAACCAGGCATTCCCCAGCCTTTCTTAAATCCACAGAAAAGAAATAATGGCTGCGCTCATTGTCAATCCCTATCCTGTTGTGATTTATTGCTCAATTATGTTGTCCTGATTAGGCACATGCAATATGGGACCTTATCATTTTACTATTTCAGCACTTCAGCTTGTGCTAAACCAGTCAGAGTTAAAGCATTTACAGCCTACTGCTGAACAGTAGAGCACCATCAGCCAATACTGGTGCAATAGCAGCATGGTGCTAGATAAAATGTACAGTAGTGGGTGGAGAATCCAAACTGATGTTTACCTACCTTGTGGCTGCTATTGTATGTTGCCAGCTTAAGGGGGGGAACACTAATTTAACACCAGTACAGTTAACAGAACAGAAGAACAGAATGGGAAGGGACCTTGGTAGTCTTGTCTAACCCTCTGCTGAAACAGGAAACCCTATACTATTTCAGACAAATGGCTGTCCAATCTCGTCTTAAAAACCTCCAGGGCTACAGCACCCACAATTTCTGGAGACAAGTCGCTCTACTAATTAATTGTTTTAATTGTCAGAAAATGTCTCATTGGTTCTAGGTTGGTTCTCTCCTTGATTAGTTAATTAGTTGATTACTTTTTCCTTAATTAGTTGATTAGATTAGATTAGATTGATTAGCTAAGGTTGATTTAAGCCTATTTCACTCACCAGCTAGTGCTGAAAGCAACATCACAGGCATATCCTCTTAAAGAAGGCTGCACAATACAAAAAACATGATGTTGATGCCATAGTTAAGTGCAACTGGAAAGAGACTCTATCCTTCCCATGTAATCCGGGCTACTTCCAGAGCTGCAGGAGGCTCCCAGACCAAGTTCCTCACTTCTGATTACACTGTACTGTAAATCTGACAACCCTCACTGTTTTTGTTGGAAGAGTTGAAAGACCAGGTTAGGGACAAATCATCATGGAGAAAATCTATCCATGTGGTTGCTAAGAGTTAACAAAGACCTGGTGGCACATAATCCATCAATCTATTTCCAGTAAAGGTTAATCTCTGCATTCTCTGGGCTCCTTTTCTGCTAGTCTCTTTCCCTCTCTATAAGCATGGGAGAGCTTATAAGGGTTCATTCCTAATACATGGATATAATGACATTTAGCTCTACTTCCCTCCCCCAGAACTGCCCTCTTTGATCCACTCTTTCACTTGTTAAATAGTGCACCTCCCACCTTGTCAACTCAGAACCCGATAATTCTAGATGTTGCTGAACTATAACCTAACAAGATCCTGCTGCAAAATTCCAACTTCTGATCTGCTCATTTATTTGTTGAAGATCAATTCCACATTTCCTGCATTTACAAAACCACCGTGCAAAGAGGTTGAGGGATATTGTGTTGTTCAAAATGAACCAGTAACTCAGTGCATAATTGGAGAGGTTCTCCTGCAATGCAACAAAGTACAGTAGACAAACTAGACAACGAAGTAGAGGGAAATTACCCTTGCTATCAAGCAGAAAAAGATGGGTGGAGGTTAATTTCCCAGTAGGCCGTTAGTGAGTAGAAGACAATAACATGCTTTCCAGTCACTTAAAAAAAAACAGTAAGGACAAACACGTTGAGGCAAACACGTTGTCCAGATCAGCCTTGAGTCTTCCTTGTCCTTGCCTTACCATCTATCCATTATGTGAATCAACCCAAAATAATGTTGCTCTTCCCGTTCTCTTTATAATAGGAAATTCTTATTCCCTTATTTGTTGCCACATTCTTATCCCTCCCCATCTTAGAATTTAGAGTGGACACACTTGAGGGCCTGGATCTCTCTTTTTAATTGTTATTGTCCAAGCATGGGCAACCCTTTTCAGTCTTAGCATTTCCTTCCCAGTCTTATATTTTGTCTTCTGAGATTTGCGAGGAATGCATCAGTGATCCGGAGTTACAATCAAGTGGAGAGGTTTGAAGGCCTTCAGTCCTTTTGGGTAGATCTTTGGGACTTTCCACACTTTCAGAAGAAATTACCTATTCTGACCTTTAATTTGTGCCCCAGATGCTATAAACCATGCTAATGAAAACTGGCCATTTTTCAGTTAATTTTGTCAACCCAATCTAGGGAGGCTGTAGGGCAGTGATTCTCAACTTTTCTAATGCCGTGACCCCATAATACAGTTCCCCATGTTGTGGTGACCCCCAACCACTTATACAACATCGGGTGCCAGGGGCGTGGCCAAAGAAAAGGGGGAAAAAATGGCAGATAGCCTTGTTGGCGACCCCCGTAAAATGGTCGTTTGACCCCAAATGGGGTCCCGACCCACAGGTTGAGAACCACTGCTGTAGGGCAAGGTGGGATGAATTGGAGGCTGTGGTTTGTATGAAATCACCCATTCCTGCTGTACACCCTGCTTCCACACATTCTATTACCACTACTGGGAGATACCCACAATCATGATGACAACCATTTTTACAAAAATGGAGTTGCACTTTATTATAGCCACCATGAAGCCATTTTATAATTCAGTCCCTGTTGCAATTAATGTCAGGACATTTTGAGCGTTTGTTATAACTTACTGCCAGTTTCTTCTAAAGCCCTTCCCAGTGGACTGTTCCACCAAACCATCATCCCAGGTAATCCTTTCTCTGCGTTTGAAATCATAATCAGCTTCCCTCTCTCAACAATTTCCAAGTAAACCAACAGAGAACATGTTTTGCGCCGCCTTCTGTAAGAGGATGTACCATCAGTGATTGGCTCACGTAGAATTGTAGCTATTTGCATCTGCCTGGCCTCACGCTGTAATCTAAAACAACCAGGGACAATATTTCACACCTTAACAACCACACCCCTGTTTAATGCTTGCCAGATCCACAACTCCAGTCAATCCTGATACGCTTGCTGGAATGCATATCGCTTTGGTGGGCTATTTGAGGACTGCTCCCTAGGCAAATGCCCTTGTCAAAGATGCCAATTCAGTGACATACCTTGTTGATGCCCATATTTCCCCGGACATTCTCAGGAGTCACTGCGTAAAGGATGGCTGCCCCAACAATTCCTCCAGCCAACTGGGCCACCACATAGCAGACAGTCCTCACCAATGATACACGAGAGCCAAGCAGGAAGGCCACAGTCACTGCTGGATTGATGTGGGCTCCGCTAGCACGCCAGGCAATCTGGACAACTGTGGCTGCTGCCAAGTTGAAGGTGATAGAAATCTGCAGGATGGAGGGTGTCTCTGGCCAATCCAGAACAGACCCCAAGCCGAAAAAGACGTAGATGGCGGTGATCAGCAACTCAGTGAAGACAGCCCGGTAGAAAGCTATAGAAAGAAGTTCCTTACACATTCTGCAAGAAGCAAGAGGTGAAAAGTGCATATCTTCTGGTAGCCTTTTCTCTTCTGAGCAAGGGCCAAGGAAACACTATTTAAATGAGTGAGATTGCAACATTGGGCTAGACCAGGAAATTAAAGAGAAACTCCTGCAGTAGCCTCTCCTGCCCAGCCATTGGAGAACAAGGAAGGGCTCTAGCTGGGAAGCTTTGGGTGAGTCACATAAATCCAGTGGGGTAATCTTCAGCAACAGATTCTGGAAAAGAAACAGCAGAGGAAGGTCAGTTGTGCAGCTTTTGTCTCAAACTGCTACGTCCAAAAGCTCCTCATTCCTACCTAAGGAAGCCCATCATCGTTAGTCAGTGCTGGCGGAGACAACAGAAGAAGCTGGGGAGACATAGAAGCATAGAAAACTGATGGCAGAAAAAGACCTAGTGGTCCATTGAGTCTGCCCTTTGAGGTTTTTTTTTCTTTTTCTTTTTATTTATTTATTTATTTACTTATTTTTTGTTGAATGATGGGCATGTGTTTATCCCAAGCATGTTTAAACTCAGTTATTGATAATTGATCCACTACCTCCGCTGGAAGTTGGTTCCAAGCTTCCACAACTTTTTCTGTGAAGTAATACTTTCTAACATTACTTTTGAACCTCCCTCCTGTCAGTTTGAGGTTATGCTCCCATGTTCCTGATTTTTGCCTGATATTGAAAATACTGCCTTCTAGAACCTTATTCACACCCTTAATATATTTAAAAGTTTCAATCATGTCCCCTGTTTCCCTTCTGTCCTACAAAGCTGTAGGTATTTAGTTCCTCCAAAATCTCTCCCGATATGTTTTGTCCCTCAGACTTTCCACCATTTTTGTTGCCAGTCTCTGGACTCCCTCAATCTTATCAATATCTTTTTCTAAGGGAGGTCTCTAGAGCTGGACTCAGTATTCCAAATAGGGTCTGACTAAAGCCCTATATAGCAGGATTTTGGAAAACAGACCTCCAATACAGCCCTGGGTTTCTATGTGGAGAAGCACCATTCATTGCCTCCAAGGTTGGCATGTCTGTCCTTAATTAAGGGCAAGCTTCTCTTTGAGTGACAAGACATTTCTCAGCTCCCTCCCTCATGGCATCCTGACTCTGCTCAGTGTCATCAGAAGCAGATGCTTAACGATATTCAAGCAGCAGCTTAGGAGAGATACAGTGATTATAGAAAGACTGAGGCTGAAAGCTACTTGCAGGAAGGAAAATATCAAAATAACTGTGTTCAAAGGGTGGAGATAACTGCCTAGGCATTACCTGGTAACCTCTAGTTATCTTGGGCTACACCTCTCATACAGATCCTAGCTGGCTGGGGACAATGGAACATATAGGAACATATAGGGAAAAGGAGTGTTAATTTACAGACTGGGAGAAAACCATCTGCTACTTCCTTTCACGGGAAGCTTTCTCCACCCGTAATTTCAGCTGACAAGACCTTCCTGAATACTTTGAAAGGCTTTCTTCTTGGGCTTAAGCTATCAATCCATTCATACACATTCAACCTATTTTAAAATATCAGTGACCTCAAGTAGGCTCAGTGTTTTCACATTAGTAAAATATTCCTTAGTCTTGGCAAACAATTGTTGCTTTGTCAGTGCAATTTGATAGCTCCCTATTAAGGAGAACGACCAAAAGGAGCTTTGTTCAAATTCCAAGAAATCATTTCTCCCTTGCTTGGAGCAGAAGAGCACCTGGAATAATAATGTTCCAATAATAATAATAATGAGAATAATGAGAAAAGACCCCCCTCCTCCCCTGGTCTTCATGCTTCTTTCTCCTCTTCCCCCCCCCGCCCCCATTTTTAATTTTTTAATGATAAAATTTTAGCATTTAAAATTTTTATTGTTATTACTGTTTTATCTTTTTAATGCTTCTGGTTGTAATGTTTGTAAGCTGCCCAGAGTCACCCTCTGAGCAAGATGGGCAGCACATAAATCCAATAAATAAATACATATGACCTCCCTCCCCAAAGCTAACAGCCAAACCCTGATAAGACCTTTCATCAAACTTTGCTTCCCTGGTTTTGTGCTCATGTTAGAGGGAACATTGCTGCTACTCTAGGGGAGAAGATGAAGGTCTTTTTTTGTCTGACTTGACAATATGGGAATGTATAGTGTTGAATTAGTGTTGAACATGGTCAGTTGTAAGATAAGATTGATAGTTCTTGCTGAAATGTGCTCATATTCCTCCTCCTCCATCTAAAACAGTTTAATATTGTTATGTATTGAATATATATAAAGTTGTGTTAATCCCTGCTAAAGTGAAATTAACTTAACTCCAACTGCTTGTGAAGCTAAAATGAAACTAACCTTAAGATGACCCTGACTGTTAACTCCAACTATTTTGGAGGGAAACTTTGAACATTCATATTTGGGCAGGTTTTTCAAGTATTCTGATTGGTTAAGGCCCTGTGGGCTCAGAGTATAAATTACAGGCAATTGCCTGCAGTTCTGCAGTTATAGTTTGACTCAATAAATAATGTTGTAATTATGCTGGTCTGTTCCTTGCCTACTGAAGCCCACTACACAATAAATATTATGCAGAATTAAGGTAGGGCCAAACCTGAAGTGCATCTTAAGGCTCTGTTACGTGTATCTTGTTTGCTCTTTCTACAAAGTTGGGTCTTGGAATCAGCCACTAAAAGGAAAACATAGCAATTGCCAGGTTATAAACAATATGCAGAAGATAAATCATAATGGGGGAAGCTTAAAAAAAACACATTAATCATGGGCCACTTTCAGTGCAACTTGCTGGCAAGCAGCTCTGACGTCTTCAGTTTTCCCAGGGTATATCAATTCTACAAATAAATTTGTTTCCCATTCAGCCTCTTCTCTGAAATAATCCTGAGAATTATAGTTGCCTGAAAATTCAGAGAATTCTTCATCCCTAATCCTCTTCCTCTATGCTAGAAGTCATTCCTCTATTCTCCAGAGGACAGGAGGGAATTTTAAAATGAGTTTACCTTATACTATTTCCCCCTTCAAGAATGATATGAAATCTAGAGGTCTTTCTGGACTCACTTGAAGAAAAGGTGTCAGCTGAAAGCTTTTGCACAACTCCATCTGGTGTGCCAGTTTCACATTTTCTAGATTGGAAGGCACGTCAGAAATCATTTGACTCATACCCATCTACTACCACTGTTTCTCAAGCTGTACTGGTTGCCAGTTTGTTTCTGGGTGTAGTTCAAGGTGCATGTGTTACCTATGAAACCCTTCATGGCCTAGGCCAGAGGTAGCGAACCTATGGCACACGTACCAGAGGCGGCACTCAGAGCCCTCTCTGTGGGCATGCATGGGACTGGCCTCTGCCGCCCTGGCCCTGCCCACCAAGTCTGCCATGACCACCATGGCCATGCCTACCTGGCACCCACGATAAATAAGTGGGTTTTGGGTTGCAGTTTGGGCACTGGGTCTCTAAAAGGTTCATCATCACTGGCCTAGGCCAGGGGTAGGCAATCTTGGCTCTTTTATGACTCGTGGACTTCAGTTCACAGAATTCCTGGGCCAGCTGGCTCAGGAATTCTGGGAGTTGAAGTCCACGAGTCATAAAAGAGCCAAGGTTGCCTACCCCTGGCCTAGGGCTTGGTTACCTGAGGGACTGCCTATCTCCCATAGCATCTGCCTAGCTGATTCAGTCCTACAGGGTTGCATGCTCTGAGTTCCTTTGATTAAAGAAAGTTATCTATTGGAAACCAGAAGCAGGCTTTCTGGGCAGCAGCCTCTGCCCTCTAGAACAAGATTCTCTTTCTCCTTCCCCCCCCCCCCAAATTTGGATGGTCCCCACTTTGGTATTGTTTAGAAGACCTGTGAAGGCACAGTTCTACAGCCAGCCTTGGTGCAGGTGAGGGAGAGTGAAGAACCCTCAGGAAAGGGTGATCAGTAAAAGTTGTTGGAAATGAGGGTGGAGGAACAGAATGAGATTGAGATTGTTTAGCTTCTTCCTCCCAATCATATTTGCTGAAATTGTTCCCTTAAAATATGCAAGGCTATTGCTATCTCCAGATTTCTCTCCAAGGCCATGGCGATGGAGCCTAACAGATTCCACATGCCTATGGTGCAAGCTACGGATGACACATCTCACTTGCAGGCTAGAAACAAGATATGGAGGAAGAACAGAAGGAAACATTTTGGGGGAAAATCTTTTTGATGTGTCTTAAAACCTCTGGATATCTGCTAAAATCTTGTGTTGTGTGGGAATGAGAATTCATTGTACTTAGTTGCTGCTGTAATAAATTTGTACTGTATCCCATTATCTAAAAATCGGGAGTCGAAAGGAAGTGATATAAAAATACACTAAGCCACCTCCCCCTTGCTTTTAAAGCCCTTCTTCAATTTTATAAATTGGCAGCTTGTGTTTGCAAGATAGTTGCCCTCTTAAACATGGTCTTTAAAACAGGATAGAAATGTTGTCTATTAAGTTTTTCAGAAAGGCACTTACAGAATGGACAGAATGATATAGGGTCTCCTGTTTGTGCAGGGGGTTCAACTAGAAGGTAGTAGTAGTAGTAATAGTAGTAGTAGTAGTAGTAGTAGTAGTAGTAGTAATTGCAAAAGGTGGCCTTACTAGGAACTGCTTCCATCCTGGACAATATCTGTAATACCATCAAACATCCACATCTGCCTATCCCAGGTCCTTGGTAAGGACTCAATAGGTAGACAAAAATGCCAAATCCAATCTGAACATCTGGCTGACTGTGCAATGATCCATAATAATAATAATAATAATAATAATAATAATAATAAAGTTGGAAGGGACCTTGTAGGTCGTCTAGTCCAACCCCCTCCCCCGCTCAGGCAGGAAACCCTATACCATTTCAGACTAATGGCTGTCCAGTCTCTTCTTAAAAACTTCCAGTGTTGGAGCATTCACCACTTCTGGAGGCAGGTTGTTCCACTGGTTAATTGTTCTAACTGTCAGGAAGTTTCTCCTTAGTTCTAGGTTGCTTCTCTCCTTGGTTAGTTTCCATCCGTTGCTTCTTGACCTGCCTTCAGGCGCTTTGGAGAATAGCTTGACTCCCTCTTCTCCAAGGTCTATTCTAACCCTGTTATTCTATGTTCTAATAGTGAAAGTGCCAAGCTTATGAATGAATCCATAATGTACAGTAATGTGAAGCTGAGAAGGAGATAAAATCAGATCTCTACTGCCCATCATGATTTATACACAGGATCCACCTAAAACTACAGCCGCAGTGTAGTTGACATCTGCCTGCACACTAAGAGCCACAGCACTCACCAACCCAATACTTTGTGATGCTATGATGGAAAAATTTGGACCCATGCTTCATAGTTTTTACACGGGCTCTACTTGAAATTTCTGTCAAAAACAGAAATTGTATCTGTTATGTCCTGAGCCTGTGAAGGCAGGCTCGGGGCATTGCAATGGTTCCGGGCAGGTACAAGCTGCCCAGGACCAGACTGGCTGTCGCCAGCACTCGCGCGCATGCGTGAAGTGCAAGCGCGCCAAATGTTGCAGTTTGGCCCGGGGATCGCCTATAAAAGGAGCAGGGAGACTTGGGTGTTGTCGGTGTCTTGTAACCAGTATGTTGAACACAATAAAGAGGCT